CCTGGATCCGCCCTTGGTTCCAGATTTATCGAAGATGCCAGCTACTGGAGCTAGCGAAACATCGAGAATTTGTGTTCATTAAACATGATTCTCTCAGTGATTTATCAAATACACTTCTCAATGACAATTTGCAGAAAAATTCAATACGGTCGGGAAAATATCTAACAGATGCGTTCTTGAATAATTGATAGTACAAGTGGAGTTTGATTTAGTCGACCCTCTGTTGCAAATGGACCTCCGCCGCCCTTTGCAGTAAGGGTGTTCGTGCCGTTTAGGGCCCGATGGTTTTATGTTAGTTTTATTACCGAGAAAAAAACTACAGAGTTTGCTTAATTGGCAGGCCCATTATTTTGGGAAGAATGGATTATGGTAATTTTACATCGGCGATATGTTTTGGGGGGTTATACTGGACTTTTCGTCTAAGGTTTTTCAACTAAATCACTTCATAGTTTTTTTAATGACAATAGCGAGGGCAATACAAAGACTTCGACCGAAGAAGCGTTCTATGTGCATTTACAGAGCGCTTTAGTCTGTACTAAGGAAGATTTCGATGGTTTAAAAGCGAGCAATGGCCAAAAATGAGTTTAAATGTTCGATTCGTTCGGTTATATACATATCTCGAATGTTCGAGTCGATAAGATGAAAAATATCCACGGCTGGGAAAAGGAAATTGACAACAGCGCCTCTAAGTTTTTGATATTTCTGTTTATCTGCAAGCAGAGAGTGTTTCAGTAGATAACAAAAAAGATAACGCCTGTGGCAGCTCGAAAAACCCTCCAAAAATGTTGCCAAATTTTTTACCTTACATGGATAATATACTTTGGGTTTTTGAGTCTATAATATAGAACACAAGGACTACATGCAATTGGTGCCATAAAGAAAAATAGCTAAACATGATTATAAATGTCCAAAGTGCTCTTTCGTCCGGTTTTTTTCCGGTTGCATTTTCGCTTGGGTACATGTGCAAAAGAAAACAATATCATCAGCAAAAGATGAAAATTCGACCAAAAAACGGGTTTAAATTTTCTATTATTTTGCTTATTTGCATCCATACATACAATATATATATTTAAGTCTATAATAACGAATCTATCAACTGTTGCAGATCGAAAAACCTTCAAAATATGTGGAATTTTTTTATTTTTCTGTTACATCCTTCATGGGGAGTCTCGTGGATCTTTCATGTGGTCATCCTTCAGTTCATCAGCATGTGGAGTCTATGCTGTAAAATGGGCATAAATGTTCGATTTTTTGAATTATTGTATACGTAGTATTTAGTATTATTTTTTAATTTCATTTCATTTCCTTAATATCGGTTATAAGCATATACAGAGTGTCTGTTTCTATAATCAGGAATATTTCGGCGATTGTGGAACGGAAAATAGTCAAAATTAAGTCAAAATTTTCGGTAATTACGCTGATCTGCCTGTAGAGAGCCTTCGAGTTGATAATAAGATTAGATCGACGATTATAAGTGACATTACGATTATAAGTGACGATTATAACATGACCAAAAATGTATTAAAGTGTTCGGTTTTTTCAGAGCTGAAGTGTCTAACGTGTTTTACGTGTTTTGTGCAATAATAGACTTGTTGAATTTCTGGCGTTCTCAAGTTTATGAGGTTTTTTGAAAAAACTGTTTTAGCTGCAAAGTTTGCTTAACAAGCATAGTGCCTTAATGGCAAGCTCATTATTTGGAGATTTGAATTTTTGACTGATTGAAATCATGAATGATTGGTTTCATAGTAAAAAACTCGCTGTCTTTAAATTGTTTGGTCCCATTTTGATTTACATCATTTTGCAATAGGAGTTCAAAAACAAAAGACATTGTATGGATTAGATGTTGTAATATTATAATAATAATAAGAACTTATAAAAGTAGAAAAGAAAAATAAAAACGAAGGTAAAAGTACAGTTGATGATGACTAAATTTGGAACGATTCGGTTCCTGCTCAAAAGAGAGTGAGGCACAAGAAGCTCTGACGACAGTATTGTTGAAAAAACAGAATATTTCTAAGTTGGTGTTACAAATTGAGCAACCATATTTGATATTTTCTAAATTATGGCTGGTGATCCAGAAATGTTCATCAAATCAGGAACAGAACTTCACCTGCTGCTTTCAATTGAAAGGTTGCAAAGACGCATGCAAGCTGAGTGAGTATGGGCGCAACATAACGTCAAACTTTTCCTATTAATAAATCAAAAGAAACAAAATTGGAATTATTATCCAGCCAAGTAGATAAGCGGCAGTAAATCACACAATGGGCCATGTTTGACTTGCTTCAACGCACGATTTCCTTTCGATAAACAACTATAATGACACTTGAAATTCGTAGTCAGATGGCTTTAAATTGAGCTCGCCACTGAGAACAAAAATAAAAGGGTAAACAGGACGATAAATCACCTG